CTATTGAGTTTTTATTTATTATTATGATCATTACTGTCACCCATAATATGTCCATCCTTTGAATATATAACATGGGATTAATATAAAGGAAAGAAAAACAAAAACAAGAAAAGAAATCCACGACGCTCCGGCCCTTCGGGTCTCGGCTCGTGGTTGGCGGCCTTGCCCAAAACCGGCGGGTACCCACATGACTCTCGAGCCATGAGCAATATGTCTCGAGATGTCACAAGCTTAGAAATTTTTAAATAGTGGATCCAGGGTTGTTTTGAATTTTAATTGAAAGAACCAGTGCAGCAAGCGAGTGTGACCCACCGGGCTAATGTATTATGTCCTTTAATAGGCTTTTGCAAATACAATTATCACTTACAGCTTCCCACCACTGTGTCCGCATTCCTGACATGCTATCCCGCATTGTCCTACCAAGGTGACTAAGTTGAATGTCAATCGATGTTCACTCGACGTGATTGACTTGCTAGACACTCAGACACATCTTTCAGATTTACGATTTTTGACTTTCTCAAAAGCACAAGACTGGACAGTATAAACTATCAATTCTGTTCAATCACCGATTTCCACGGACGTGGGAGATGTCCAGATATCGGTATTCACCATCAGCGAATAGCACAGAGCCCTTAAATACTGACGGAGCGAGTTACACTGAGTCATACCAATGCAGGCCCATATTGTCCGCTATCCGACACAGTCAGATTGCCTACTTAGGTGACTGAGTTTAATATCAATCGATTTTCACCTTGACGTGACTGACTTGTTAGGCACTCATATACGGTGTTCCGACTCTAGCTTTTGGTTTCGCGTTTCAAAACAAGACTGGATGTATCTATTCAACTGTCGAGCCAGTTTAATCGCTGATTTCTCGACTCCCCAACTCGACATTCAAACGTTCCCGCCTTTAAAACGACACCTACAAAGCCCCTTATCATAAATCCTTATCACTTTCTCTGACCTTTGATGTTCAACCCACCTACGGACGCGACTTTCATAATTTTAACGACTCAGTCTCCTTGGACCAACTTCAAAATCCAAAATCCACTTTCAGCCAACTCGGGGGGTCTGGGGGTGTCCCCTATCGACGCTCGGAGAGCTAGTAACAATATAAAATATCCTAGACTGACATAGGTACCGTCTTCCCTCAGAATCCTGGACCAACTTTTAATCGAAAACCCTTTTCGATTGATTTTAAAATAGGCCCCCTGTAGTGGAAATATTCCTGGAAATATCGAATAGCAAAAAGTCCAGTTTTTGAAAAAATCGATATTGTTGTATATTTTGTTGAAATTTAAAAAAATAAATAATCTTAGGTTGGTATCAAGATACTTGAGATTGTATAAATTTTATATTTCTATAAATGAAATAATTTTCAGGCATTTGCCACTGTATTAAATTTTTTTTACTCATCTGAATCTATAAATATTAATTACCACAAACCGATTTACACCATATTTTATCATTTTCAAATATTAATTAATGTCCAACGTACCATATTATTATTTATTAATAGAAAAATAAACAAATTAAATCGTATTATATACCTAAATACCTAAGTATACCGGTAAGCTACAACTAATAGTTAATACCTAGGTAAATTATAATATAACTGAGGCTTACATTCTCCGCACAGAATCGTTTTTCATTTACAATATGATTCGCAATTGATCACATTCATTTAAGTGAGAAAATGCACTTCTACTTTACAGCAGAGCGAGTACCTAACTGATTTTTTTCAAGTGTGTATAACTATAACTTATATACTATAGACAGAAAATTGCAAAATAATATCATTCATTATTTTTAACCAATTCAAATGTTCATCATTATATAATAATATACTTTATAGTGAATGAAAATAAAATAAAAAATGATTTATCTATTTTAATTAATATTTATTATACTATGCAGTATGAGGGTTTGACTGAAAATATTTTCAGATTAATTTGAAAATGTTGTGGCTAATTTATGAAAATGAATCACAATAGTTTGCCAGATGGTATAACTAGCTATAAATTAAAATGGTATGTACAAGTACAATATACCTATATACCTCATAGTAGCTAGGTAATTTATACGTATTTCAACAATTCAGGATGAAGTATCATAATCTTCAAAGTATACACCAATTTGATTTCTCAGTCGATCCATTATTTCTTGCACGGTATAACTATTATTTAGAGTAACAACTGGCGATTCAATAAAACCTAATAAATAAAAATAAAAATGCAAATTGTTAGGCATTTTGATGAAATCATCAAACTTTTGCTAGGTAGGTAGTAAAAACTAAAAATACTCAAACCTTTCTTTAAACAATGTCTGACATGATCTATTTCATAACGTAACTGAACACTATTTGAAAATATTGTGGGTTTTCTTGTATTTGGTTGTTCAAATGTATAATTTGAGGTATGGCTGGTTGTATTAACTGTTACTTTTTTTGAGGCGTGAAAGGGTTCGTGAATCTAAGAAAAAAGACTTAATTATTTTTTAAGTTAATACATACTAAATAATTGGGTTTCAATATATTTTATGAATGTAATTTTTTTTAAATCCTAAATTAAATAGGTAAAATTCTTTATTCCTATGTTTCCTAATGCTAATATTAAGTCTAACCCGGAAGTATAAGGCTAAAATATATGACAATTTAGTTGAAGTATTCAGTCCCTTGTACTCAGTGGACTAATATAGGTAGTATTTTAGTTTAAGCAGACATATAGATAAATAATAATTTAAATAAATGTTGCATAATTATTTTTAATGTAATTAAGTTCCTCCATTTAATTAAGGCTAGGAATCTTTTTTTATTGGATTTTTAAAATTTTTACTGTTCTAACCTAAGAGGTTATCCTGCACGTATAATTTTCTCTTTCTGCTCCATGATTGCACATTGCACATTGCAAATTTTATGTTCACAATAATGATTATAAACATAATTTTAAAAATTGAAGTGAAATGACCTCTTATAAAATTTAAAGGTGAGGTAATCATCTAGGGGACCTCATAGGCTATTTATTATGTATTTTAATTTTAAAGCGAGTTATAAGTATTTTAAAATTGTAAATTATTTGTACATCTTGAATTCTTAAAATACTCACTACTAACATTTTATTAGAGGTTGTTATTTTAGAAATTGTTATGATTATATCATTATTGTGAACGTAAAATTTTGCATGTGGCATGTCGTACGTTGGTTCGAAAAAAAAATGAGATGAAATCCTCTTGGCACCAGGTGTAGCTAATGTAATTTTTTTCACAAAAATACGTTTTACGGGAATAATGATCTTGTTATGTAGAATCAACAACATTTGATAACTTTTTTTAAGCTAATATTCTTCTGGCCACATTGAACTCCGTTTTTCAATATCAAATTTATCTCAAATTTTATGATAGTAATGTCTTCAGTACAATTTTAAGATTTTTTTTATACAGAGCACTGGACCTTTTAATATACCTTTTGTTTAGCATGATTTTATTTGTTTTATTTTGAATTTTCAATGTACCAAATCGTTACAATTATTAACTATCGTGTAGCCTGTGTAGGTAAGCATTAGGTACATATAGTGTGATCCATTTAAATTAATACACTTATACCACAGGTATTAACCATACTTATAAGTTATAACCTATTATAAGTCTCCCCATACAATTATAAGTAACATAATAAATTATAAGTTACTATCATAGGTTAGGTATCATACATTAAGTATTTTTTAAACATCGATATTCATTGAATTTGTCAGGTATAGGTACCTTGATTGTGCCCCTAGTTCCATGTATGTAAGCTGAACAGTCCATTTCCGTTTTAGTGTGTACTGATATGACGGCTATTTTTCCTTCGGGATATTCGAGGATGGCAGACATGTTTTCATCTGTCCCGTGACTATTTAATGTTCCTTTACCTTCTATGAATACTGGTTTGCCGGGCCCAAGTATTGTATCAATTAAATGCAGCGTATAAACACCAATATCAAGTATTGAGCCTCCTCCCACATCCTTTTTCCTAGAACATATGACATATGACACGTAAACATAGTATAATATTTTTGTATATCTTTTTACTTCGATAGTTCTGTAAAAAATATTCATTCCCATGAAAAGTACCATATATTAAATTAAGTATGAAATGTACTATCTTAAAACAATATAATTATTTTTAAGTTTTAAACATTTAATGTTCACTTATAATACATTACTCTGTAGATTTAAAATGTTGGGAACCGCTACATTACAGTATTACACAATACAAAAATATAGAGAGCAGAGACCATACTTACATATTTTGTAATATTATTAACATTTTTAATTATTGGGAGTTTTTGAAATGTATTAGAATTAGAAATCATAAAACTACACTTACGAGTTACAACAAGAATAAGAATACAATAAAAATTGTATAATATTATAAATTATAAAGATGAGTTAGATACTTGTTAGTTGTTGTAACGAGTCACTAAACTCCGAAATAGTAAGTAAAATATAATCAGTTAAAGAATGCCATCACCCGTCTGCAGTTTATTTGCTCCTTCCATGGATATAATATAATATGTATATACCTAGATTGTAAATATATTATTTTAGTTCGTGGCTCCGTCTTATAGGCATAACATATTTGTCTTTAGCGATTCCAATTTTGTAGTATTGGAGTACCATAATAGTTACTATAGTGAATTGATATATTTTCAAACTAAAAGGTAAAAACATAATTTGGGTCTTATAGTGGGTTAGTGAGTTCGAATGATATTTTAATTTTTATGTGAGTTATGAAATTTTTTGTACTTTAATATTTGACATACTTATAACACTATTAACACCGAAAGATTGGCGTAGAATATTCTACTCAAACCAAAGGACTTAACCTAAAATATTATTATTATTAATATTGAATTGGACAAAATAGTTTTAAAAGTATTTGGAATAAATACTCGAGTACTTTTGAAAAATAGTACTCATTAAAATATCTTTTGTTGTAAATAGATACTTAAAAGTTGATGTTTGTCTTTGGGGAAATTTTAAATTATAGCAAATGTTAAAATACGTATATCGTATTTACGATGTCTACACACTACCTAATTGTGATAATTTTTGATTTACAACATAAAATAAATATTTTATAACTATAAAAGTATTTTAACTTTTAAGTAGGAACTTTCAAAATTATTCAGAATTCAGCATCAAATGCTTTTGGGAAACAGTATTCTGAAAGTAGGTATTCAGAATTTCAGAATTCTGTAGTCGGAATACTACCCCAAGTCTGATTTAGCCAATTTATCATTTAAGAAATATTATGTAAATTACCCATATTAAACGTAATTAATGCAAATTTTTTTAAATAAATAGAATGTGTAATTATTTTACCAAATTCTTTCGATGTTCGACATTTGTCTACCAAAGTTGGCCTGCACATGTAAGACTGTACCGATAGTTCCGTTTTGCACTTCTTCGACTACTTTTTGATAGGCTGGTGTAAAACGACTCCACATAGCTTCCATTAGAAATAATTGTTTAGCTTTTGATAGCTAAACAAAAACCCAATATTTTATGTATTATCACCAGACAGTTTTAGGTAGGTTATATCATTATTTACTTTTATTAATTCATCGAGTTGCTTGGCGTTAATACAAAACGGTTTTTCACATAACACGGGCTTACAACTTTCGAGCATTAATTTGGTCAATGAATAGTGCTGATGGTTAAGAGCGCCAATATAAACAACGTCTATTTTTTGTATCATTCATAAAACAAAATAGTTATTAGGTAATAGGTATATTATGTGTTAAAAGAGAACACCCGCATTTGTTTTCTTCATCTTATACCTATTGCGTAACTAAATAACAGTATAACATAATTATAACAATATAACATAATATAATTATAACATAATTGAGCAGTTCACGTGTAGGCTGTAGTTTCAGTAATTTTAATTTTAACAAGATTATCTGTATTCTGTTGGTTGGACTTATAGATACAGGATTATCTTTGCTCATGCATGTTGTATAATAATATGGTCTCGTCGTTTCGAAGTCCGAACTTCGAACTTTAATAATTAATGCTAACCCGCACTGATTGTCGATTGGTGACGACCAAAATAGTTACGGAATTCCATTAATGTAAAATCATAAATATTTAAAAAGGTAAGATAACGATAACTGATAAGTATTAATATAAAAAATCCTAATTTATTGTAAGTTTATGCTTCAAAAAAATATCCCAGATAAACGACGAGAAACGATAACAATATACAAATCTACATATCGTAAAAGTAAATACTAAAGCACGAAAAAGAAGATAAGTGTAACTTAAAAAAATAATGTTCTAAAAATCTTGCATAATTTTTATGGTATTTGAAATATTTCATGATGATAAAAATAATATTTTGCCTAATTACCTAAGACTATAATTTATCCAGCACCAGAAACCCGAAATCTTAATAAATTATTCTGGTGCAAATTCCTGAATACTAATATAAAACCATAGAACTTTTATTTAAAAATTATAAAATAATGTAATATTATAGATATAACAAAAACCGTATAAAATATGCAACTTACCGACATTGGAATCATTGCCAAGTTCTTCGTAAGAACCGTAATAGGTAGAGATACCAAAATTATCTGCGAAATCTTTGGCCCTAGATATGTCTTTAGCAGCAATAGCCACTACTTTATGATCTTCAGCTGATAATGTTTCTAAAGCTAGAACAAAATCGTGGGAGATTTTGGAAGCACTGAGTATTCCCCATTTTGTTGCCATAATGTGAGTTTTCAAATGTGATCTATGGTAAATAATAGTTTAGTTTGTATTCAATTAAAATATATTATACCCGTTTAATTTATAATATAAACAGGGTCATTCGGTCACGTCTTCAGTATTTTTGTATCGAGGGAAATAGAAAAACTGAATGCATAGTGTTTGCTGCAGCTGTGATAACGGGGTCATATCGCTCATACCCCCCCACCGATAATAACAATTTAGTATACATTTATCGATTCAATGTTTAACTAAAAAACTGTTGGCAACATTTTCGTAATTTGGCCAAAATTTAAAATTTAAACTTTAAAAACTTAAGTTATGATAACAACTTAAAAGAAACTTAGCATATTACATTTTTAAGCTTTTAAACTAAGCGAAAAAATTTGTATCGACATTTGTAGGAAAAAAACATCAAATGTCTATATACACCTGTAGCAATACATTCATCATTCTGCTCAAACTCTATAGGTAAATAACATAGGTTAGTTAAAAATCAGTCCCCTACATTTTAGATTCTGAGAAGAGCGATAAATGTATTGATTTTTCTATGTACCTATGCGTTTTTTGTGTATGCATAAATGTATACCTAAAGTCTACACGTTTTAGGTATGTAAGAAAATTTTGATTTTCAGCGTCGAACATATTTTTTGGTAGGAAAGTTGGTACTTTTGGTCATAGGCGAATCTACAGGGTGTGCCTGGTGTGCCAGGGCACACCCTGCGACTCGTATAAACCTGTGTATAGGGCCCATAATACTCATTTCAGTTACAATGGTATTGAGTCTAAACATTAAACAATTTATATTTTAATTTTAAGAGGACGTGATACCTGCATGTGTTGTCTCTGTCTTACAAGTGCGTAACATAGCAAATTTTACGCTCAGCAGAACACGTGTAGC